TATTTATATCTCTCCATTGGCATGGGATGAAACCCTAATCTTGAGTCTATAGAACTCTTTACGTATACTGCTTCGTTTAATCCAGGGAGGAGTCATTGATTAAACCAGTTACTGAACAGACCAGGAATCCTTCGTTGAGCAGATAACTCTCCAGCGTACAAATCTCCCAGCGTAGCGTCCTAGTCCAGATAGGATGACCAACAAACAATTCTATTCTAATAACACAATTCTACTACCATAAGGACACTACACTACGGTCTACTAGTGATTGTGTGTTGTCAAAAAAATAATGCCAACTCAAGTGCTAAATATTAAGGACCTAACAATCTCCCCCTTTGGCTATTTTTGACAAACACAATCACTTGACACTCAGCCAGGTCTAAACCTCTTCTCCCCCTTTTGGAAAAAATATGCCAAAGGCAAAAGTGTATATTATTCAAGAAACTGGAGAAGAGTAATATTTAGACAACTGGATGCAAGAGTGTGTACATTAGTGGAACTAAGACACCTTAAAAATGGTCATCCTACCTGTGCAGAGACCTGAGTGAAAACCAAGAAACCATGTGCAGAAATAAGGCACAGAACAATTCCTTCAAAATATTGAGTAGCAGCAATCCTCACCATAACATACCCATATGATAACACACATAGTAGCAGCAAAAATATGAGTTGATGAATCCATGCCAAAACATAAGGGACAGAACAATCCCATCGAAATAGTGAGTAGCCAAAAACAGTAGTGTTTTGCAAAAAAACAACTTGTGGAGTTTAATCATCAAACTTGTGGAGTTCAGCCTCAAAGTCTGACTCTCCAGTTGCTAGGTTATCATCCTCTGCATCTGCGCTTTCCTCTCCTTCCTCAGTGGCTTCATCATCTTCACTTTGCTCCCCCTGTGTTGCAGCATCATCTGGTCCACCTTGCTTTGTCTCCTCCCCCTGAGATTTAGCAGCTTCATCTGGAGTGGTGTCTAGAGATGACAGGATAATGGCCCATTTTTTCTTCTTGATTTCAGCTTCTTTGATCAACGTCTTGTATTTATCAATCTTCTCTTGCAGTGACTGAATTTCTCCTTTGATGAAAGCTGTTTTGGAAAAATTTGGCTGAAGAACTGCTGGAGCTATCTTCTGTTCCTCCCTTGTGGCCATATCATTGTAGTGTCTTCCTTCAAAGTGCCTTAAAAGTGCCTTAAATCAACCTGGAGAAGAGGAGGAGCAGGTTCTTCTTCATCTGCAACTACAAGTTTCTGAGATTTGAGCATTTGAAAAATAAGAAGTGGATAAGGAAGCCCATTAGAGTTCTGTTTGGCCCTTTAAGGTGCAAAGCTCATGATCTGGTCAAAGATGATTTTTCCAAGATTGACAGGTATCTCATGCTTGATTTTGTAGATGAGTGTGGCTATGCAGAGTGGGACTGTGTTCATATGGGTGGTTGGGAGCCAGTGATATGCAGCAACCCTGAACAGTATGGCATAAGAACTTTTGAGGATGGACGAGGGCACTTTTGACTTGGTGGATTGAGATATACGCTCACCATTTGTGAGGTCAATCCAGACTTGTCTTTCATTCACATTGACTTCAGAGGAGGGAGGTTTTATGTTTAGAAACTGATTGATTTTGGTAGGGGACAGATCAAAAGTTTTCCCTCTCACAAACACTTTGTGGTATGAAGGGTCAGTGTGAATGTTGCAACCCTCAAACAAATTGCAGTAAAACTCTTGAATGACTTTTCTCACATAGGAACCAGGCAGAGTAATTGATTTAAGCAAATTACACTTTTTCAGCACAGGGATTAAGTTTGTTTTTGCTTCAAAATCCTCAACATCAATACTTCTTTGTGGCAGAATAGTTTTCTTGGCAATTTCAGACATGTATGAGCTAGTAATTGATGAAACAAACAGATGTTTAGAAAACTTCCCTGGGTTGTGTGATTTTTCTGCTTTTGCATTTTTCCTTTGGTTGATCTGACTTCTGGTTGTGAGTTTTGCTGAGGGAGATGATGTTTTCTGCTTCTTTGAGCTCTCCTCCTGGTCATCCGTTGCTTTCTCCTTTCGCTTTAGTTCCTTCTTTTTCACTTCTTTTGTTTGAATTTCTTCAATCCCTTCTGATTCTTGATTCTCCTTTGCCTTTTGGCGCAGCGACCATCTGGATCCAGTGCGTTTCGCCATTGTCTTTTTGGATGCTGGAGTTGTGAATTGTACATCTTCAAAAGGCACATCTAAGCATGCTAGTAAAGGTTCTTCATCCACAATCTCTGGTATTTCCTTTTCTGACTGCAGATCTTCCTTCTTTTTGCTTTGCATGTTCTCTTCTTGTTGAGTGACTGTGTGCTCTAGGTAGAGTGTTTCTGGGATTGTGGCTACAGGGTGTAGAATCACATCATCTTCTGTGTCTTTTCTGACTTTAGCGTCTACAGATCTTGAATCTGGTTGCTCCATACTTGATTCTTCCAGATTGGGTTGTGGGAGATTTTCTTCGTCTTCTTCTGCCGCTTGTGTTTGAAGATGAACATCGGTTTGTTGTGCGTCCTTTGAATCCAGTAGACGCGTCCAGCGATGTTTTGCCCAGAGTTCTCTTTTTAGTGCAGATCTTCCCTTCCATCGTTTTGGGAGTGCATGCTTGATTCTCACCATCTTCGTCTTTCTTGGTTTTGCTCAAGTTTGTGAGATTTGATTTTTAGGGTTCTTGGAAGACCCTTTATTCGGATGACAATACCGAGGTTCTTACCACGCCTTCTCTATTTGAGATAAAGTAGGTGTCTCTTCGTGTGCCTCATTACTGTGTAACGGCGCATGCGATCACTTTTCTTTCAACTCAGCAGATTTCTTGAAAATTGAGCACATTAGCTGACAATTTGTGCTCATCTTTAATCTTCATGGTTTATTGAAATGGTGCGCACAGACCCAAATTGGATCTGAGTGTCTCAAATCTTTCTCCATCAAGTGCCTTTGTAAATATATCAGCCAACTGATGTTCAGTAGGAACATATTCAAGTGCGACAATTTTTTCTTCTACTAGCTCACGTATAAAGTGATGTTTGATGTCAATGTGTTTGGTACGTGAGTGCAGTACTGGATTTTTGGATATATTTATGGCGCTTGTATTGTCGCAATAAATGGGAATAGTATCATGCTGGATTCCATAATCAGTTAGCATTGACTTCATCCACAAAAGTTGTGCACAACAACTCCCGGCAGCTATGTATTCAGCTTCTGCAGTAGATAATGAGACTGAGTTCTGCTTTTTACTAAGCCATGCTACTAGATTGCCTGCTAGATAGAAACATCCACCTGAAGTGCTTTTGCGATCATCAATGTTGCCAGCCCAATCTGCGTCACTATACGCCATAAGTTGTGGTGGAGCACCTTTAGAGTACCAGAGACCCAGATTATGTGTGCCCTTAACATATTTCAGTATTCTTTTTACTGCCTTCATATGTGATTCTTTAGGCTTAGCTTGATATCTTGCACATACTCCCACACTGTAGCATATATCAGGTCTGCTTGCAGTAAGATACAACAGACTTCCAATGATTCCTCTGTAGTAAGTAGCATCAACGTCCTTTCCATTATCATCCCTGCTTATTTTCTCATGTGTTGGACATGGTGTTCTAGCACTTTTGCAGTCACTCATATCAAACTTCTTCAGCATATTCAGAGCATATTTATTTTGAGATATGAAGATTCCATCCTCAGTCTGTTTGATCTGTAGACCCAGAAAGTAAGTCAATTCACCAATCATGCTCATCTCATATTCTTTTTCCATGACTTCAACGAATTTCTTAACATGAACTTCTGAGGTTGCACCAAACAGTATGTCATCAACATAGATTTGAGCCACCAGTATGTCTTTACCATACCTGATATAGAACATGGTATTGTCTACACCTCCCCTGGTGTATCCTTGTTTGCTTAAGTGTGCTGTTAGCCTCTCATACCATGCTCGCGGTGCCTGCTTCAGGCCATATAGTGCCTTGCGTAGTTTGAATACATGCTTTGGATGTGTTGTATCTTCAAATCCTTTGGGTTGGGATACATAAACCTCTTCTTTAAGATATCCATTTAGAAAGGCTGTTTTGACATCCATTTGATATAGTTTCATGTTCCAGACACATGCCATACTGATGAGTATTCGAATTGATTCAAGTCTCGCCACGGGCGCAAAGGTTTCTTCAAAATCAACTCCTTCCACCTGTGTGTATCCCTGAGCCACTAACCTTGCTTTGTTTCTTATCACGTTGCCATCTTCATCAGTTTTGTTTCGAAAAATCCACTTTGTGCCAATAATGTTCACACCCTCAGGTTTTGGCACCAGTTCCCATACTTGATTTTGCTCAAACTGTGCAAGCTCCTCCTGCATTGCGTTTATCCATGCTTCATCTGTCAGGGCTTCTTTAACATTTCTTGGTTCAACTGATGATGTATAGAAGGCATTAATCATTTCAACATAGTCAACCTTCTTTTTTCGAGTGCGCATACCTTCTTGTGGATCTCCAATCACATTTTCTAGTGGATGATTCTTTTGAATGTGTGTAGGCACTCTGACTTCTTCCGGTTGATTCGCCTATGGTTCTGCAACTGATTGATCTTCTGTATCTGATGTTGGTGAGGCTTCTTCAGTTTGCCGTTCAGCAGATGGTTCATCATCTCTTGTTTCACTGTTATCTTTCCATAGTGCTTTGTCATCTACTATGACATTGATGGACTCCATGATTGTTCTGGTGCGTTTGTTGAATACTCTGAAGGCTTTGCTGTTTGGTGAGTATCCCAAGAATATAGCTTCATCACTCTTTGCATCAAATTTGCTTCTATGCTCTCGATCTCGAAGAACAAAGCATTTTGCTCCAAAAATGTGAAAGTGTCCCACGTTTGGAGTTCGCCCTTTCCACAGTTCATATGGAGTAGCTTGAGTCCCACTTCTTATATACACACGGTTTATTGTGTAGCAGGCTATGTGTACGGCTTCGGCCCAAAGATTCTCTGGTAATTGTTGTGTGTGAAGCATTGTTCTTGCCATTTCCTGCACATGCCTGTTCTTTCTCTCGGCTACCCCATTTTGTTGTGGAGTTTTTGGTGCTGAGAACTCATGTGCTATTCCTTGTTCATCACAGTAGTTGCTGAAAGGTTGGCTGTCGAACTCCCCGCCATGATCACTTCTTACTCGTATAACCTTTTGTATCTTTGACTGTTTCTCATTTTGGACTTTTTTGCAGAGTGCAGCAAAGGCATATAGTGCGTCATCCTTATGCCTTAAAAAACATACCCATGTATATCTTGTAAAATCATCAACCACCATGAGTACAAATCTCTTTCCTCCAATACTCTCAGTCTTCATCGGTCCAAAAAGATCTATATGTAGCAGCTCCAAGGGACATTTTGTGGATTGAAACACCTTGACTGGATGGGTTTTGCGTATCTGTTTTCCCTTTTGACACGGACCACATATTTCTGTCTCTTTATTGATGATTTTTGGTAATCCCCTCACAGCTCCTGAATTTGACAGAGTTACAAGATCTTTGTAGTTCAGATGCCCCAGGCGATAGTGCCATAACCTTGCATCTTTTCCACTTGCTGAGAAACAAAGAATATTTGGGGTTACTTTATAGCAGTTGTCAGCTGTTCTATCGCCTTCAAGCACCACTTGTTTACTTCGGTCTCTCACTCTGCATTTTTGCTGTGTAAAAAATACTTCAAGCCCTTGATCACATATTTGGCTTATGCTGAGCAGGTTCACCTGTAAGCCTTGGACTAACCATATGTTTTTGATAGGTGGTAGTCCGGATACGTTAAGCGTGCCACTACCAACTATTTTTCCTTGTGCTCCACCACCAAACCGAACACTTCCCTGTTCAAGCGTCTTGATGTTTATGAGATTTTCTCTGTCACCGGTCATATGATGCGAGCATCCGCTGTCAAGAAGCCATTGATCTGGGGTGACCCTGTAGCAAGTGTTAGCCACAGAGGCATACTGTTTTGGTATCCAGATTTGTTTGTAATGTTTTGATGTCCACGGCTTCCTCCATCTTGTGACACACTGACGTTGTATGTGTCCCCACTTATTACAGTTAAAACATCTGTAATGGTGGTAGGGATTCCTGTATAAGGATATTTGACGCTCCTTTTTGAACTGACGTGTATCGGTGGATGTAGTTACTTCTGAAGCTTTGACAAACTTGACTTCAAGGGATTGTGGCATCTTTACTTTGTCTGTATATCCAATGCATGTCATGTCTCCAGGATATTTTGCTTTAATCGAGTGATGATCTAGTACCTCTGCTCCAACAACCTTGATCCATTTTTGATAGGACTTAAGTTGGTTTATCTCAAATGACAGATTGGATTTTTCTCCTTCAAGTTCTTCAATTTTCCTGGTGAGTTCTTCAATTCTCTTCTTCAAAGCATCAACTTCTGAAATTAGTCTGTTCTTGTCTGTGACATTCCTTTTATTCACCATCAGGAGTTCTGACCATTTATCTTGCAGGTCCTCAAGTTGTTCCTCAAGACTCACTTCGTCATCCAGGTCAGCACTTGCAACGAATGCACAGTTAGATTCTTCATAATCACTCTGATCTTCAGTTTCATCATCACTCCACGTTGCCTTGAAAGCTTGTCTCTTCTTCTTTAAATTGTTTGCACACTCAGACTGGATATGACCATATCCACCACACTCAAAACACTGTGGCCCCTTCTTCTTTGCATAGTTAGGATTTTCTGTGTTTTTGGCTTCTCTGTACTTAGCATCTTTTGATGGAAGCCCCTTAGAGGTACCTTCAAATCTTTGATTTGATCTCTTCTGAATCCACTGCTTCTTGAATTGCCGGGTGAACAGTGCTAGTTGTTCTTGGAAATCTTCATCAAGTGACCAATCAAGTTCTCCGTCATCTTCCACCTTAGTGCTGGGAAAAGCTATCTGCTTATCAGGCTTCCTTTGCTTACTATCTTCTGTCATGTCCAGTTCAATTGATTCCAGTATTCCCATAAGTGCGTCAAGGGTCATGTTCTTGATATTGTGGGAATGTCGAATGGCCTTGACGTCCATCTCATAATCTTTTGGAAGTGACCTCAGCACCTTGAGAACCAGCTTGTTTTCTGGAATGGGTTCATTCAGTCGTGCAGCCTGGTTTGCAATGTCTCTAACTCTCCCATGAAATTCAGTGATCTTTTCCTTCTCGTCCATGCGCAGATTTTCATATTGAGTCATCAGGATCTGATATTTTGCCGTCTTCACTTCCTCATCTCCCTCATGTGTGACTTCAAGAATATCCCAATCTTCCTTGGCATTATCACAGTTTGAGATGAGCTTGTACTGGGTAGAGTCCACTGCCCCAAAGATTGCATTTAGAGCTTTGTCATTGAACTCAGCAGCGGTTACTTCAGCTCTACTGTATTCTTCGAATGGTTTGATTCTTGACGTTGTCAGATCATCAGAGTATTTGCGCGGTTCAGTCCACCCTGCTTCTACGCTTCTCCAGACTCCACCCCCAAGGGATTTGAGAAAAGCCCTCATCCTGCCCTTCTAGAAATTATAGTTGTGCCCACGCAGTAAAGGTGGTCTCTGAACATTTGCTCCTTCTTCCATGTCTCCCATGATATGATCGATAGCTAGTAAATTAAGCTATGCAGGCTCTGATACCAATTGAAATTTCCACACACACAACACAGTATAGAAAACCACAGACACTCACAAACTTCACACAGCAGGAGATGGTCGGAAATTGTGTTGTAGCACAGCAAGCAAATTTCTCAGAATGTTACAACACCTTTTCATACACCAATTCAGGATAAACAAAAACGAGCAAAGACACAAAGATTTGTTTACGCAGTTCGGAACCAACTCTCCTACGTCTGCGAGGCCCACATCCGTGTAATAGCCTTTCCACTAGACCATCATAAGAATTACACAATCAGATTCAACAGATCCTTCTATTGAACTAATTTGTCTACTTACGTGATCAGACTCCAAACTCTGTTTGTCGTCGAACCAGGCCTATTACACCTTCTTGTTGCTCTGCAATAAGGATGTGTTCTTGACCTTTGCTCAGCCTCTCACAATGCACAAACTGAACAAATCTTCATAAAAGATCCATGGATGATCTTCTCACTGTAACCTCACGTCAATATGATACGCTCTTCTCTGTGATAGATCAACTCTCTGTGTAAGTACTCTCTCTTAGTCGAATATGTATTTTTCCGCAACCTTTCTGTCAAGCTGCCATCTCCTATTTATATCTCTCCATTGGCATGGGATGA